CTAGCTGGTCTAAAACCGCTTTTGACCAAAAGGGACGCTTTTTGGACGCCATGGACATTTCTAAGTTTCCAGGCAGAAAGAACAGTCAAAATGCAGGCAGGGCACAGGACAAAGCAGTAGGGACAAAATGTATGTGAAATGGTTTGATACAGTAATGTTTTACTATGTCAAATTCATTTCTAAGAAAATGACAGTTTAAAACAAAATTTAAATTTGCCGCTGTACCAGCCCCCGTATGTCCCGACGCTCGCAGGGACCGGAACACGGAAGCCGGATGCCGGCATCGGGCCGGAGGAGATGGCCGGGGACGCTGCAGGGAATGCATCGTGGGAGCGAAAGACAAGGTAAGCGCTGCAGGGAATCCCTGAGCAACGCCGCATGGTAAGCCTGAGTGTAGCTCGGGGTTACCGCTTTTGGTCCTGAAACTTTACCCCGAGCTACCTCGGGAATACCGCCAGGGAGGTTAACTAATTTACAGACTGTCTGTAAATGTCGGTTACTGACAGCTGCCGTCTGTGAAAAATATGGCTGCATGCACAGTTCCAAAGCCAGCTGTGCTTGAGCAAGATTGGGCATGTTCTCGGGTGGGCGGGCGCATGTGCACTTCAAAGCCGGCAGGGCTCAGGCAAGCTTGGTAATTTTTGGCTGTTCTCGGGTGAGCACATGTGCAGTGACATGGCGCGCGGCCAGTCTAAAGGGGGGTCACTGATGTAAGAGGGGGTGAATACAATAAGGTAAGGGGGGACATTACCTTAGTGTATTTACAGTGCGGAAAGTGGTCTGCGTTCACCATCTTCCCCCCATCACTGTTCCTAGCATTCCCCCTTAAATCAGTGTTCTCAGCTTTCCCCATTACATCAGAGCTTGCAGGATTCCCCCTTACAGTGCAAGGGGGAACTCTGTGGACTCTGATGTAAAGGGCAACACAGCAGACCCAGATGTAAAGGGGAATGTTGTGGACTCTGATGTAAGGAGGGCTCTGGGGACCACCTTATATCAGAGTTCCCTTTTACACCAAAGTCTGCAACATTCCCCCTTACATCATGATCTGATGTGTTTCCCTTTACACCAAAGTTCCCCATGCACTGTATGGGGGAATCCTGCAGACTCTAAAGTAAGGTGGTGCTGGCTGAGTTATATTAACCTGACCTTCATGGAATTGTAGAAATATCATTTTTGGCTTTTCTTATAACTTAAACACATCACTAATAGCACTAGCTGTATGTTTGTAGCCTAAATATAGATATTTTCACTTTATGTAAAGAAAATGCAGCGCTGTGTGATGTTACTATATTGCGGGCAGATATAAATAATAAATGAAACCAAAGCAAATGAATAAATGAATAAATAAATAAATAAATCACAGTCCAGTAATGGTGCTCGCTGATTCCCAGTACAAAAGTTAGAAATGCGTACTAACCAGAAACGTATTAATAATACGCATGTGTATATGATATCATGGAGATTCCCCTCTCTTTTCTGGTCTGGTAATGGGCAGGAGCTGAAGATAGTAGAGATGAAGCGCCCTCGTGTGGCGAAATGGAGGTCCAGCAGGTCACAGAAATCCTTACAGAAGTGTGTGAAGTGGAAAATTCCTCCTCTCAAAGGCTGGTGCAGGGATCAATCTGGGTCTGCAGAAGCTGAAAAGGCTCATCGCAGAAGACACAGGAAAGAACCCATAGTGTAGTAGGTTGAGGAAAATGATTTTATTCAAGAAAAACAGGAGTGTTCAGAAAAAACTCACAATGGTGCCAGGTTTAATCAAATGACTGACCCTTTAAGATTAAATATGGCCGCCGGGCCTCCACGTGGCACCGGCGGCGTAGTGTCAATGGCGTCCTAGGCCCCCACTGACGCGTTTCGTGCGCACGCACTTCTTCAGAGGTAGAGCTGAGGATCTACCTCTGAAGAAGTGCGTGCGCACGAAACGCGTCAGAGGATTCGTGTTATTCATATGTCTCTCGTGTGGCTTAATTAAAGCTCTGAAGGCTGCAATTGGGCCATGCGCATGTACAATGTATGTATTACAGTACTCAGCTTGGTAATGGATGAGATGGCAGATCTGCGCTTATAGACCGGCGTGTATACCACCACGGCATTCGATGCGAATGTCGCTGGCAGTAGACCGTGGGCCCTGTATCCACATATCAGCAGCATAGTACCACATGGGCTTCATAACGCAAGGCGCCAAGCGGTGTGAACTCCACGTGTAGGCTTATGCATATCTTACAACCCATTACCAACTTGAAACTGTATCTTGGATGGATGTGTTTTTTTATAAAGATCGTATCGGGCCCATCCAGGTACAGACTGATATTTTTAGGGAATGCTTGTACAAAGAATTTACATACCAATAGAAGCTAGTAGGACAGGAAATATGACCTCAGATGGCTCATGGGGGGGAAGGGGAGGAAGTCTGCTGACCTCAGAAGACTCATGGGGGAGGACCAGTGATAGATAATAGGAAAGGCTATGCTCCAATTGGAATGTACATCCTGTGTATAGGCACTCCCCATTGCATTGTTCGGTGGGAGGGGATTGACTTTATTCATGTGGGGGGCATGTGTGTATTTTTAATAAAACAGAGAGCTGAGTCTGAAACCAGCCCTTATGTGAATTGCAACATCATCCTGAGAGTGTCGTTTTGATCATTCTAGGGTAACGGAGCTCCAATTCCCCACATTTCAACAGAAGCTAAAGTAGTTGGATGGGCAGGAATCGTGTAGTTTAGCTGCAGTCGTGGTAGCGAGATTCGCACAGCTTTATGGGGGATTTCTGCGCATCCAACTGCGAGTACTCACGGTAAGGAGAAATTCGTTAAAGCGAATTTCCAAGACAGTTTGGCGAGCCTGGTGGATACTAACGCGTATTCTTGCATAGCTAACCCAGTACGAGGGGGGAATAGCCATCATGAACTAGCAAAAAGTATGCCGGCACATTTCAGGTCTCTCTGCCATTAAGAGGATCGCTTTTTGCGTGTTCGTGTGGCTGATTTCGCTCTCTGTTAGCTAACAAGAATTACCGCTTAGCAAGGACCTAGTTTTTTGTCCTAAACTCTTGATTTGTGGGTGAAAGACAAGGGTTTGTCTCTGCGGAGAGCAGCAGAGGGGTGGGTTTGGTTGGCTGGATTTGGTCAAGTTTAAAAATCTTCCAACCAAAAATTAAACGGGTATATGTTTTAGCGGGTAAAAGTTGTTGCATAGTGTTAGGTAAGTATTTGCGGGTTGTAGGTACTGTGGTAATTGCTGCTCTACCCCCCCTCCACGTGAGGTAATTATTACAGTGCTGAAAGGTTTAGGTTAATTGTTAACTGTTGTAAGATCTTTGTGTGTATGTAGTCTGTGCAATGTTTTGTGGTACTACTACTGCTCCCAAGCAAGCATGCAGCAGGGGGTCCTTTCTGTTACATGTGCATGTTAGTGTGATATGTTGGTGTTTTTATGTCTGTTCTGTGATCGTGCCAAATTGTGTTGTATGTGTGCTGTATATTGTTGTGTAATTGTCCAGTGTATGTTCTGTCCAAAAGTCTGTTTTATGTAAGAGGTTAGAGGCAATTTTGAGGCTAGAGTCTGCCATGTGTGCTCCTCTGTGGGGGGCCATTCTAGTGTTACCATGTGCTTCCCTGTGGGGGGGGGCATTCTAGTATCTACCATGTGCTCCTCTGTGGGGGGTCATTTTCTTGACTAACCACATGGACTCCTTTTGTTTGGTGGCCATTTTGTTTTATGACCATGTGCTTTCCCTGTTGGGCCTTTTTGTTGACTACCATATGTGCAGTAATCTCTATGCAATGTGCATGAAGTTTCCTATATGCATTTGACCCATATTGTGTTTTTAATCCAAATTTTTTACAGTTTAATTTGTTTGCTTTTAGCTTTAAATTTGCGTATTGCCAGCCAATTTAAAGTGTGTTAAGCGAGTTTTTCCCCTCACGTGTTCCACATTTAGTGAGCGCGTGAAGTCTGGGTTTTTGCACATAGATTTCTTGTATAGTGATTATGTTTTTTCTTGTGTTTTTCCTGTTAAAAGTAGTTCCTTATTGTAAAGCGGGTTTGTTTTAAGCTGCTGTGTCACGTGTTTCGCGTCCAGCAGACTTTTTGTGTAAACGGTTTTAGGTGGTTGCAGTGAAGATTGCGTGTGTAGCGCAGATCGTTTAGCGGTGCTGGTATGAGTGATTTTTGCGTCAGCAACAAGGTTACTTTTGGCGCAGTTTTTCGGTTTACCTCTGTGTAATTGTTTTACTGTGAAACGTCCCGTGTTTTTTCATAAGGATCCACTTTGTCCTTTTTAACAGTTTTTCAGGTTGAAAAAGGGTTTTTTCTGTGTGTATTAGGAAAGTTTTTTTCTTTACACAAATTTCCTAAAGGTCAGTTAGCAGGTTTCTGCCCAACCAGTGACCCCTAAGTAACATCCAAGAACCCCTCTTTTTTTGTTTTGACTTGTGTTAGCTACTGTGTGCAGGGAGAGAAAAGCCACTTTCATCATTGTGCGGTGTGGCCTGCCAAACACAGTGGGTGATGAGAACCACATAAATTACGCTGTGCGAGTGGGCGGTCCAGGGAAGTATAACACTTAGCCTGGTTACCACAAACACTTCGGGTGGTCAGGATCACATAAATTGCGCTGTGGGAGTGGGAGGTGTGCTCTCAGTCTGACCGCCACTTGATGCGCTTCGGGTGATCGATAAGTATCACATAAATTACGCTGTGCTGGGAAAGTGGTGGAATCAGGCCTCTCGGTAGGATCCCCCACGAGTGCTCCAGGGGGTAAACAGGTACCCGGACGCGGGATATATACCAGTGACTAGTCACGATGGGCAGTAGTCAGTCCATGAAGAGAGAGGGGGAACCAGCCCTCTTCAGGGTAAGGACAGCTGCACAACTGATGAAGGTGAGTTTGGGGGGGAAGTCTACAGAACCCCTCAAAAGGTGGAATAAATGGTCGAAGGGTACCAGATGGGAAATTCCCCGGGAAGGTACATTTGACGCATGGAGGTGGGAAAAATTCATCTCTGAATTTGAACCACGGATGCAGGCGTCAGAACTAGAGATCGCACAGCTATGGCTTCACAGGTCAATCCGATTAGGGAAGCAGGGCATACATAAACTGGTGTCTGTCCGGAAGAACCAGGTGATGTATACCTGGCCTCCAGAGGGAATAAAACAGGAGGATCCAGTGTCAGAGGTGGAGGAAGCTCTTTCAGGGCTGACTCTACTAAGGCAGGCAGGATCAGGGTCTGCTGGGGTTCCCGAACAACCAACAGTGGCTGAGATAAGTATAACTGCACCTGTCTCTTCTGTTAGTGACATCACTCTTGATGTACCT